CCTACACTGTCATAGAGGGCTACACCGTCATAGGGGCCTACACTGCCATAGAGGCCTACACTGTCTGAGAGGGCTACACTGTCATAGGGGCCTACACTGTCACAGAGGCCTACACTGTCATAGAGGCCTACACTGTCACAGAGGCCTACACTGCCATAGAGGCCTACACTGTCTGAGAGGGCTACACTGTCATAGGGGCCTACACTGTCACAGAGGCCTACACTGCCATAGAGGCCTACACTGTCTGAGAGGGCTACACTGTCATACAGGCTTACACTGTAATTTAAGTTAACATGGTTAAACATATTCAATATTTATTTGTGTGCTCCATTGAAGCGCTGTTGTTTCTCACTTGTTTGTTTGTCTTGTTCGTCATTTTGTCTGTCCTTTGTTAGGTTGTATGGTTGTCTTTGTCTGTCTATAGGTTGGGGTACAGAAGTGTTCCTGCTTAACCTTAAACCTAAATGTTGCCGTCTAATTTATCAAATGTATAATGCTATTTTATGTAATGTTACTCAATGTCATGGCCAGATATATTCAGTACATACTGGGAAGTAATATGAACACGTTTGGTTACATTGTCAAGAATGTCAGCATTGAAATAAATGTTTCATCATTAACAAAATGAACATGAAAGGGTCTACCTTTTCAACGTTCGCAATGCATTATGGGTCTGGATGACAAACAAATGGACAACCCTATGGAGGAAGTGAAGCAGGCAGAAATCAAGTTACAGTTTTCTACTAAATATTTCTCATAAATCTGCTCATCAAGTCACAGATGCATGGGTATTATCCGATTATACAAGACACATTTACAAATAAGTTTTCAAATGTCTGTAGGCAGAAATATCACCCTTATTTGTCTTTTTTAAGGGCAGCAGTCACTGTACGGGCTGAAAATGAACGTGACTGGTCAAAGCGGGATGAGTGAGCTACAATCCTGATTTTGATTGGACAATACCAAAGTATTAATATCCACGATCTCAGTCAAAGCACAGTCCATGACGATAAGTGATGTTGTTGGAAGGGATTCTCTAAATTTTCCTTTTCTGCCAAACTTCAAAGTTTGTGATACATGTACATATGTAGATATCTTTGTCCCAAATCAGTAATGCAACACTTTGTCAGAAGGGGATGGCTTGAATTGGAGTATGAAATAAAATGGAAACAGATTAACATTTTGCAGGTGCACTTCACCAAGGCAATAGGGTTGTGCAAAAACGCATTGCATGTTTGTCATCCAAACCCATCAATCATGCATTGTTTACTTTCATTATCACTTCAGAAAGCCAGCGTAACTTCAGCTCAAAACATGGGAAGATTCGCTGACAGGTCCAGATCTACAAATTTATTAAACCCTAAACATGATACGCATTACAAGTAGGCCTAAATAAGAGGAAGGTGCCGACAAGCATAAATAATGTGCTTGAACTTCCTTCGATCATGTGTCGATCATGTGTCGATATATGAAGTAGCCTGTCCGGAAATTGGGCTAAGCAAATGAGTTCAATTTTTCTGACAAGTTTTGATCAACATGAGAAGATTGCATAAAAAACATAAAAGAAATATACATGATGGATGTTTGAAGTTTCTTACCTTATATTTTCCTCCATTTCATGTTTGCTGTGACTTGTAAGTGTAAGAATTCATTAGTCCCGCTGAGTTAAGTTACGTACACATTGTCCCGTGTGGCATAAGTACGTTTCCTGGAACCTTGTACGTCTTTTTTCAGACTGTATAAACGCGAATGTAGCGGGGCCAGACTACTTTTATTGTTTCTTAACGTAGAGGGCGTATTATCGAAAGGGGCGGAGCGAGTTCATATGAAGGGGTGACTGACCCATAACCTTTGGGCAAACGGTGCATCTGTTTCCCCCCTCTGCTCTGGGCCTTTGAATTGAGGGATTACTTTCAGTGGCTGTCACGTCTTGTCTTCCCCGGGCCAACTCGGCTGTCACACTCCCGATCGGCCCCGGGCCAACTTTATTTTAAAAAGCAGTGTATGCAACGTCATTATCTGGTGAAAAGCACAGGGTGTATCCCCACCTGGATGCGGCATGAAGGCGGGAGCTGCACCGCAGAGCTGCTGGTCTTTGGGGAACTGAGTATCGGTTAACTGTTTCACTGGAATTCTTGACAGAAGAACTTAGTCCTTCATCAAGTTTGCAGCTGCGTGGTATGTCTCTGTACACACACGTGTGCATGTGGACTGATCATTTAACTGGGTCAGTTAAATGCATGAAGCTCGATGATCAGTCCGGAAACGACAGAGCGTTCAGAGAGGAACAATTCGGCTTGATGAGTTCCTTTAATGGTTTGACTTCTCGTTAATCTGCAATATACAGGCTGCAGCTCTTTGGATCTTTCATTTTCTCTCCGTATCAATTATACCGATACATTGTTTGCATTGCCCCTTACATATTTTCATAAAAATAGTATCTTACAAAGAGACTAATAATGGATTCCTGGTTTACCGTGGATACGATTGACCTAGTATTCCGACAGGCTTTCGAAGTTACAGGTAGCTAAATGTCTCTCTTATACCTGCAAATTTTACCACTTCACCTGTTGACAGAGCTCATTAAGTTAACTACAGAATAAAGCAGGTATGTATACATGCACCTGGTGAACAATTTAACACTATGTTTCAACGAACATACTCAGCATAGCGTACGTATTTCGGGGGGGGGGACAGATGGCACCTTGCCCCAACCCCTTTGGGTTGGGATCCACTGCATACAGAGATGCGTAATGTGTATAAAGTTGTGACCTGCGTGTCTCGGTCGTTGGAACCAAAATGGTAGGCGTCAGTGCACGTGAACAATTACGCACATGGAATAGCTGCTTGCTATACTGCAAACAGATTAAGAACAGCCATTTTGGAGTTTGAAGTTCACATATCCTATAGACCGTTAAAAATTACGCTTGAGAATTGGGTACTGCAGTACCTTCAGTGCGGCACATCGATCCGATCAACAGCTAGGTTTGGACAATCATAAACTTTGCGGAAGCGACCCCATTTTGCCGCAATCAACTCAAACCAACAGTGAACATTTCAAAATACAATAACTTGTGCCTACCATTCCAAGTAGGGAGATTTCGTTTCTTCGTAGAGAGAACTGCCAAGGGATCACAAATTTTGCAAGTTTGCTTGTTTTGTACGGTAGCTTTGCGATAGGTGAACTATTTATTCACAATTTCTTCAATCTATTGTGCACTGACTTATGGTACTGATTAGCGTGAGTATGAGAGCCAAGCTTTTATCGAGTAAGACAATTTTCCCCTCTAAAGAAATCTGTATACTGCCCTGAACATACAGTTGGCACAGACGTAATTAGCAATTCCTTCCTTCACAATCTGATTCTGTACTTTGCCCTTCGGTATACGATATAACACTAGTCATACTAAATCATGATTATATTGGTGCTATAGCAATGGGGGCTGGTTACTATACAATTTAGAAATTACACATGGCTTCTGTGTGCATATGTTATAGCAGGAACGGGTTTCGCATAATTCGATTCGTTTTGGTTTCACATTAGGCCTAGACTGTGTTCATGAGATAAGCCACACTTTCTCTCTGTGACGGACGTGTAATGTAAACAGCCACAAATTTACGAGTTTTTTTTCAGATGCTTATAGGTTGTGTGTACATATGCATGAAACATAATTCGGTATTGAGCAACAGTAGGTGGGATACACGATTTCTATCGTCATATGCGAGGTGAGAATATGTTCAAAATCCGCGTGAACGTCTCTCGAAATGACCCGATTACTACAAGGCTGCACACTGTTAGGTTTCGGTTTCACCTTTATCACAGTTAAGATTTAGTATTGTTCCTTTGTTCTATACTTCAACCGGGATATGTCCTGGTGTCATTTAAAATTTTAACTTTAAATGTATCAAGCAAGTTGATCAGTATTCCAAAAAAATGTTCAATTGAACTCGAAATGACTGTGCTCCTCTTCCCGTCAAATTTATCCGTTATAGTGCCTGTAAATCAGGACTTCGGCGATGATAGCTGCAATCGTCGCCGCCAAGCAAAGACTAACGAGAAATCCGATCATTGACTTCTTGTACTCAGAACCTACGAGAAAAACATAGTATTGGATAATTTCGTTTCGTAAGAGGTTCGTGCAGGTTCTTGTAAGGCAAAATGTTGTTTTCTTGCCAGAGACGATGATCCATTTTCTTCATTCTTCATCAGAAGAGAATCCTCATCTCCCTAAGAAAGGTGCCTTCTTCGAAATTAAGCCTTTTGAATTTCTTGGAAAAGTCTCCGTGTCATGCGCAACTTTCCACTTCCACTCCCTGCTGCTGTTCAAGGGTATTATGGGACATACACGTCATACATAGGAGAGCCCCTTTAGAAACTTTTCGGCTGGAATGGATGTCCGTGGGGTTCTTTTCAAGGCAAATTTATCCTATAAAACTCAAGGGATAGGATCACTTGGAATTTCTAGAGATTAAAAAGACGAAACACTTCTCTAGACCCCAATAGCTCTGTCGCTGTCAGTAATGGAAACGAGCCTCCAAATACAACCAGAAGTTCTTCAAAAGTTACGGTGTGATACACATTACACGACTAATACAAGGTTGTTACAACTAACTTCAAAACAGCATACAGGAAAAACAGTAAAACTTGGTAAGTCAAGAAATTAAATGGAACCAATGGAGGTGACGATATTTTACGAAATGTGGGTGGCTTTTAGCGTTACTTTTACAAAGTTGGGCGTTTTAAAACAAGATTAATTTCTTTGTTAGTAGAAAGGAACCAGTTATATATCGTCATGGTCTTATCGATGCTTACCTCTGCAAAACGTTATCTCTACCCTTGTTGTGTTAAGAGGCGTGTCTCCGTCGTCGCTCATTGCTGTGCAGGTCAGGTTAATTTCTCGAGTCTCGTCTCTTGGGTGCCTCACGGTGAAGAAGCTGCTCACGTTGACAAGCCCTCCACCGAATGGTGACTCAGCCGCAGCGCGTTCCATCACCGTCTCATCTCCAAGCGTCCACAAGATGCCAAGGACGCCGCGTCGAGCATCCTGAACCAGGCATTCAAAGAGCCTTGTTGAGCCGGACTGCACAACAACGGGACCATAGTCGGGGTAGTCGAGCACAGCACCGGTCGACGGGTCGGTGATGTGCATCGGAATATCTCGATGCCCCATCGGAGAATCGTCAGATTGACGGGTTATCATCGGATGATAATCGGGTTGCGGGTTGGTCATCCCAGGGTAACCAAATAAAAAACGAAAAATGACATGATTCAAAATAAACACACAAAGTTAACGTGACCAACTTTGGACAGGGTGTTTTCTAGGTTGGGAAATGTGAAAAACGACTTTCAATTTACGGAGATTTTCTAAAACAAACTCTGTGTAAAATATGAGTAAAATAAATCTCTTGAAGAATAACATTACATCGGAAAAGAAAAAGTGTAAAGTAAGTATCCCTTAAAAAATTTTTTTCACACTCACCAACGATACTCAGGGTTATATTTACATGTATGTTATCTCGTGGATCATGGCTTAAAGAAAATAACTTGCACTGATAAACGCCTCCAGATTCCTTCAAGACGGGACTGATGGTCAAAATGCAAGCCTTGATGGTGTCGTTCAAGATGGTAAACGTTTCACCCTCGCACGTAGTTAATGTATCCTCATTGAGAAACCATTTTATCAAGGGGTTTTCTTCCTTGCTACTCGACACGAAGCACGTTAAGTTGATGCTCGATCCAACAGCAGCATTACTTTGATTTCCATCGAGGATTTCGATTGAGAGCGTTCCAGCTTCAAACCAAACGATATGACAAAACTCATGAATCAAAATAAAATACCGGAAGGAAAAATAAAAAATACCGAAAATAACCGATTGAAAACTTTCTAAAATTGACCATTTGCCCCTCTAAAGACATTTTTACAGTTTATTTACAGTGTATTTTTAGAAGGATTGGGGGAAAAAAATTGTAAAGGTTACATCCTTCAGAACGTAATTGACAACAAGGCACTGTTTCCTGTCAGACCCCCATGTAAGAGAGATTTTCCTTGTCGTTTATATTTAGTCAGTCTGCACCGTGATTCCTACCCATTAACTCTAACCACCTGGTACTTATCATCTAACCGACACTACTCATACTACAAAAACTATACGTTTTAGTCTGAGCCTCAGTGGCGTAGCCACGGGGGGGGGGTCGGGGACTACGTGCCCCCCCCACAGATTACCTGTGCCCCCCAAAGAAAAACAGAGGAATGGATAAAAAAAACGCAGCTGAAATCTGGTGCCCCCCCTGATAAGATGCTGGTGCCACTTTATACCCCCCTCCCCCCAGTAGAATACTAGCTACACCACTGCTGAGCCTGAAGGACCCATCCACTACTTCTGGCTTGGGCACCTCCATTGATACTCGTAGAGAACGAAAAAGGTCAGTGATCTTTTATGGTGCCACATGGTATAATTATTGTTTAATTAGGTAATTGTTTCCATGGCCGTCTGAGAACAATATACGATCACCACTAAGCCTATAGGCCCTATGTATGCATTTTCTGTACGTCAGAGTAATAGGCCTGTCCAATAAATCAAAACACTTGATTACTCGACTATAACTAAAATACGAAAGCTCTGATTGACTTCGGAATCTATGTCTTACCTCTAGGAACGCAAATAGTCAGCGCTACGGTCAACGCTAAGACGAATAAAACTGCCATCTTATAGTACGATCTTCACTCTGGAAACTGGTCCGAATAATGCTTAAATAAAATGAATGTATGACTTCGAAAATGAAACTGTTGGCAAAAGAATGAATTATACTCCGGCGTGTAAACTCAAACCTAACATGTGTGTGCCATTCTCACACCACGGACTACACAAGTCCGAGTCCAAGTCAGTTAAACGAGGCGCATATAATGCTCAGGATTACTGTTTATGGTAAAGCCTGAATTTACGAGGAATTTAAATTGATACAAATTGCTCGAAATTTGGCGGGGTACTTCAACAAAATCGGAAACCGAGGGTGTCAAGCCATTCCCGATACAGATTAATTTCATCCCCTTGCCCATGCGATCCTTGGCCGTTCAGTCGAAAGCAATTAAGAGCTAGTACTCCTCACGTTTTCGTCACCGCCGATAATCTGTTCTTCCACCGACAGGACGGTCGATGATCATTCAGTGGTATACATGTGCCAGAGGGCAGGGAGCAACATTGTTTTTTTTTTTTATTTTTTTTTAATTTACTTCTTTCTTTTCTTTTGACAGGAATTACAATAAATTAAAATCAGCATTTCAAATGGGTACCAGTAAATTTTTCATGAAATCAATATGGACGGTCTTTTCATTTTGGGTAACTTTGCGACGATTGGGCCTGATTTGTTTCAATTTGTTTAAGTTTACTTTTTTGAGAATAAAATTTGCTGACAAGTTAAACGTGGAGAATCTTCGGAGGGAATTATTCTCCAGTGGATTAATATACCAAAATAAACTTTTATAGAAAGATCAGACGGTGAACGTAACAACTTTGTCTCCAAGCAAGGGCAGTCATTCTTTTCTGCGAGACTTTCTCGATACATTACAGGGTGCGCTCGTCAGGCGTGCAATGCCCTGGACGAGGTTGTGCAATGAACTTTGCCCCCTGCGTTCAACGTCCTCAAAATAGCAGTCGGAATTTCCCAAATGCGAGTAACTGCCGTATTGGCATATAATTTGTGTTCATTTCATAACATTTTCAGCCCAATCTCACATGAACTAGCTATTCGATGCACGTAGCAACATCGGCCAGGTAAGTGGTGTTCCGTCGTGTATTTGTAGCTAGTTGATTCTCTGATGAAGAACAATTTGGTTAACGTACAGTGTAGTAAAAACTCAATTTACGAAACTGCTAGAGACCCTTTAGCTTTCGAGAGGCCTATTTGGTACTTCTAGTATTAGGCAAAGGTCTGCATATAGAGCGCTTTATAGAATCACTTTCTTATCAAATTTACCCAGTTATCGCACGTACAGAAGGAGTCCAGCGATTGAGACGGCACCTCTAAATTTTATATCAGAAAGCGTGTAAAACTGTTGGTTTTCAATCAATGATTTCTGCCCTGTTCGTGCATCAAATTCTATATATAATAAAAGATATTGTTTACTCTGTGTGACTTAACTACAGATCTTTGTCCGATTGTCTAGTTTGCATTTCTGGAAGTAGAACCGACGAGGAACAAGACTCTCGAACAAGCACTGAGCATACAGTGCTTATTAATATACGTTGGGCAAGGCAAAACCTGTTATATATAATTGACATCTCCCCAACGCAAAAAAATCTTCAAAAAGTTCCAGACAGCTGTCACTGATAAAGAACATTCCACTGCCTGCCCCAGGCACTGTTTTGTGAACAGCCCATTAGGTTGTGCAGGGATCAGGTCAAGTCGGACCCAAACCAACTCGGACCCATTCCAACTCGGACCCATGCCAACTCGGACCCAGGACCAACTCGGACCCACGCCAACTCGGACCCAGTACTAACTCGGACCCACGACCATCTCGGACCCACAACCAACTCGGACCCACGTCAACTCGGACCCA